ACCTGTTGGCTTGGGTCATCTTCTCAGAAGGTATTTGGCCACAAGCTGCCAGGGATGGGTAACTCTCCAGTTGCACCTAATGGTCTTGGCTCTCCTTGGGTGGCTGCTGGAGGTAGTTCAGTAGCTCTGCTGTGCAAAGGCACATGTGGGCCCATGGGGTGCCTGACCTACCCTCCAACTACAGCCTGGAAGGCTTCACCACGGCTCCCTCAGCATTGCATCATTGCATCTCAGGAGCCTGGTACAGCTCAGCAAAGGAGCCGCCTGCACCACAACCCTTTTCACAGCTCTGCCAGCAAAAGGGGCCACAGAACAACCAAGAATTGCAGCTCTGCATCCCCCTGTTAGTCTCCTTTCCTTTTTTTTTTTTCTTTGAATATAGCTCAAAACTTCATACCACTAACATTTTGCTTGAGGGATGTGTGCTCCCTGCAGTGCATCTTCCTGGAGCAAGCAGCTGCAATCCCCTCGTCTCACCTCAGCTTCAAAGTTGTGTGTTACAAACGCCGAGGGCTGCGTTTCTGCCCAGCAAACCTCCACAAACGCAACGTCGCAGAACAAAACTCTCAGAATAGGATTGGGGCAGGTCTCAGATATTCACTGTTCCCAGTCTGGGTCTGGAGCCCCTGTTTTCATGCTTTGGTGACAAGTTTCAGTCAAAGGAAGGTCACTAATCTGCTCCCAGGTGTTATGGTGGGAAGTGGAGTGCTCAGTGCCTTGATCTGGCTGTGACATTTCTCAGCCTGCTGTCCTCTAATGGGGTAGGTGAAAAAACTCTTGCTGAGGACTTTTTCCCCCTTCTTGTCTAACCACACACTCATGCTGCTCAGCCACCCAGCACGTTTGTTCTGCTTTATGCTGCCCAGAAGAAATGCTCGTGTTTAGCTGACTGATTTTGTGTTGACACAAAAACCTGACCCAGCTCCTACAACCACTCAAAACACTGTTCCTGGCTCTGGCTGCTTTGGTTTGAGTCTTTGAGGAACTGGAAAAGCACTGAGATTTTCTGAGAGGTTTCCCTTCAACACAGGAGCAGTTTCTTAAACCTCCAACCCATCAGATCTTTATCCCTTAAACTCTGATTATGTTTAATTCCCTCTCTGCACAGAAAGACTTGACTTCATGGCATTAATAAAACATCATAACAAATTATTTAAGGAATGATAAAAAAATGCTTGTGGCTGAGTCCCTGGGCTGTTTCCCTGCTCATCGTGCTGGGAGGGGGACAGGGGTTGTTATTTGTGTGGCCCCTGTGTGCCCACACTGCAGAACACACAGCACCCCACCAGCGAGCTCAATCCTTTCACCGTTACACAGGTTAAATCAGGCTCTGTCCTTCCTCACCTGGCAGATTTTGGACTGCTGCAGGTGTTGAGGGAGACTTAACATGCTGGGACACATCCGTGACCAGGCTGGCTTCTCAGATTTTCACAGAGCAGCGTTAAGGATTGAACAGTGATTTTGATGTGCTTTGTCATTGAGATGAGCCCCAGCCTGCCTGCTCCGAGCCCCCCACCTCACTCTTGCTTTCCTGATCACGCTCTGCATCTTGCAATGCAGACAAATGAATGTCTCTAGCAACTCTTCCTTAGGTTTTTTCCTCCTTGTCTCACTCAGGGCTCTCAGTCAGTTCTATTGGTCTGGAAATTATTTCTAATTAAGAAAAGCAAGCCCAAAAAAGCTATTTTGAGCTGAATCCATCACAATATCAGGGCTTATGTCACCACAGAGTGCAAGGGAAAATACACAGGAAAACAACAGACTAAGTCTATACCAGTTACAATTAAATGTAGTTAAAGTTATTTCTTAGCAGTGGGACTTTACTAAAAACACCCTCAGTGCTAGCAACAAAACTATTGAAAGTTTTCAGTCTGTTAGGTCCTGTCCTGACTGCAAGGAAATGAAATTAGCATAGTCTATCCCATTTTTCTGATGGAAATGATGTTACTCACCATAGGCGAAGGTTAGCAAGATGAACCGCCGTGCGCTCCTCCCCATGGCCAGCACAGCTGCAGGTTTGAGAGATGCTGCTTCTCACAGTGGAGCGGGTGGAAAGGAAATCAAGATTTCCTGGGGACTGAAAAGTTTCACTTGATGCAGGGAGTGCTCAGTCACATGGCTGGAAAGGAGGTGGAGAGAGAGAGGGAAACCGATGCTTCTCGTCTGTAAACTATCACAGAAGGAAATAAACGATGGTTAGTAAAGAAAGTGAAAACAGAAAGGGTTGCTGGGCTAACTGGGGGGAGGACAGGCTCTCTCCCTGCAAGGCCACATAAAGCTTCATGCATCTCTCTCTAGTTGTGGTAACCTGGTGCAGACTGCGGCTGTACCCCAGTGGAGGGTTACAACCCGTACATCAGAACTTTCCCCGTGTTCTTTTAAAAAGTACTTTTTTTAGGGCTAAATTTCTTTCATGTTAAGGCACAGAAGGGAGAGGTGTGATCCTGAGCCATCTCTTCAGAGCACCTGCTAAAAGTGAGACCGGGCTTAACAAAGCCCCACACGGGCTCTTGTCCCAGCTGGGGACTGTCAGCAGCCTTTGCTGGCTGGTTTAGTCCTGCTCCAAGGACTAAGCTTGTTGAAGGTGGATCAGTTGGGGTGGTTCACCATTAGTGTTGCATCCAAACACACTCCTCAGCAAAGAGCTACACCCCACCCACGTCCCATGAAGTGCCTCCTGCAAACCATGCCACGGAGCTGCACAGGCAGGTCCTGGCAAGCGCAGCCACGCGCCGGAGATCTCCAACAGGAGAGCGTTACGCCTGCTCATGTGTGCAGCTGGATTTCCAGCCCTGGGACTTTGCCATGGGGCCTCCTTCCTGTGGGGGGGGGAACAAAGTAAGCTCCACACCTGGGACCTGCTGTGATCCTAATTCTTCATGTTCTCATACCAATATTGCACTGCAGTAACATGATAAGGCCAATGATTTGAAAACTCAAGCGAGGTGAAATTTGCCCACTGAAATCTGGATACCAGCTGAAATTATTTCCAATATATTTTTCTTTCTCTATTTGCATTGTGTTTCTACATTCTTATTTTTACCTCTTTGCTCTTCTACAGGATCCACAACATGTATTTGCATCAATTAGCACTCCCTAATAAACCACTGCAGTATTAGCATAGGTAACTCTGAAACGGTTTTGAACCTTTGCACGCTTTCCTAAGAGTCCCAGGGATTCAGGACCAAAACTAAGGGAGATGGGTAAAGGGCAAAAAAAAATACTGTACCTTTTGTGACACGTGTGTTAGATAAATAAAGTTCTATTGTACAGATGTGGGGGGTTTTTTTCAACTGTGACGATGTGCCTTTACTGATACTTATTTATTTTGAAGAGGAAGAAAGCTCATTTGTCTTGTTACTTCATATAGAGACATCAAACAATGTTTTGTACTAGTTATAATTTTTATAAATTTCAAACAAAGTGTGGTTCTACACAGATGGCCTAATTACAGGAAGTTCATTTGCACATTTTTTTTCTTGTAATAAATTCATACATTCTGTCTTGACTGGAAAAAAGGACAGGTAATTCTGTGAAAAAACTTTCCCTGTCTGATTATCTCTCATCAGTCACAATATACAAATACATCTTATCAACACCATGGAAAATATGTAAGAAAAACAAACTGTACCAATTCTCAGCTGGGGAGAGGAAGTCTTAGCAGCTATTTCAGCTCCAGCTGCAAGAAATATACAATTTGGCTCTTTTTTTCTTATTATTCCTCTATATTTCTCATCATATATATATTTGAAGTCAGGCTTTGAGTATTTTTGGAAAGGAAGCACATGGGCTTTCTCATACCCAATCCTGTTTCAAATCTCAAGAGTTTAAGAAAATTATGGATAATAAAATGGCTTTTCATCACCTACACAACCAGACTATAAGACACACGCACAGCTTTGTTGTCACTGGCAAGAAGAGCCAGTGTCCAGATATGGTTTGGCCGCAGCCTTTTATGATCAAGACAATGACCATTGGTCTGATTCTCCACCCAGTGGGGTTAGATGTGAGAGAAGGGGAGGATCAGGCCTGATTACATTTTAGCCTGGTTTACTAAAAGCAAGACCTTTGTATCATGGCAACTGCCCGTCTCTCCATTTGCCATTACCACCAGTAAGGAAGAAATCTGTTGCCCAACTACATCTGACTGAGCAGAGGGCAGAGTTTTGGAGCTGTGGAGTTTCTGCAAGTTTCACAGAAGATGGCAGCAGAGCAGAGGGAGGAGATCCAAGTCAAAAGCTCAGCCCAGAGGGCAGGTCTCACTAGTCTGGACCCAGAGAGAACAGCCAGGCAGCTGGCACGGACTCGATGGTCAAGCAGCAGTGGTACAATACTCAACCACGAGCCCTGCTACAGCACAGATTGACCCTGGACCATGTCTCTTCTACAACTGAAACTTAGTGGCAACCATTACATTTAAAGGACTTTCTGGTCACTATATCATCTCCAAACAACACTGAAATGAAACCCATATTTGAGAACTATGATTTTTAGGCTCATCTACCTGAAAATGATGGTATCAAAGACCTACATACAGAATAAGTGTACCTTAATGTACACATTAGTCTTGCTGGACATTACCAAATCATATTGTAGATTGTACATGGAAAGTAATTCTTGCTTGACAGAAATACACTAATTAAAAGACTATCCTGTCTACTGTTAAAACACAGGTCATTAAACCCCATTTTGTCTCATCATCAAAACCAGGAGGTTACTTCTTGTTGGCTGCTTTCAGACTTGTCAGCAGCCTGATTTGTCATTGAACTTCACTCTTTAAAAGCAAACCCAGCAGCGTGGCACGGTCTCACTTCCATTTGCATCACAGACATCAACCAGGCAAAGGGCCTCGTTACTCCCCAGCAGCAGCTGCAAGGGTTGCAGTATAGTCTGAATTTGGAACGTGGAGACAGAACCAGGCAGCTGCCTTTTGCTTGTCAGCACTGCAGGAAGGTTAAAGACACAATTAATGGTTGTGGGCTCACTATTGGGTTCAGTAGTGTCCAAGCATAGCTGTAATACAACCAGCTCCCAAAGACCACTGAGATCAGAGTGCTGTGCCACTGCTGCACACAGCCACAGTGCAGTGAGTTACTTGTCATCCTCAGGACATTCATGGTGCAGGAGTGACTCAAACTTTGGTCCAACAGGATAAAACATGAGATTTTTGCAAAATAAAGAAATAAATATTATATTCAAAAGCAAAGTAGGGAGAATTGTTATAATCCAGCCTATACCTTTGCAGTTGTCATGATGAGATGGTGAGCTGGGAAAGAGGAGACACTTCTGCAGTAATCCTCTTCCCTGCTCCAGCTCTGGACTGCCCCACAGGATGCCACCACTGATGCTCCTGGAGGGCACAGCAGGACATATGGGGTTGAATACTTTGCTCTCTCCAGAGAGTCCCCAATTTTTGCATACATGCTAAATTAGGCAATCCAATAGCTCCCATTTTGCAGGAAGGTATCGAGGCACCAAGGACTAGCACACTGTCACCCTGCACACAGCAGAGGTAGGAAATGGACTGACAATACCTGATTTTCCATCTTCAGCTCAAACAGAGACTTCCCACTGCCATTTCACCATTAGAATGAGATTACTCCAAAGAAACTCCAAAGTGCAGTTTAACATCTTTCTGTCTGTCAGAAATGTCACAAATCATAGTTTTGGCAGTTTCATATACCCAGGATAACCCTTCCCCATCTCTCTCTCTCTCTACACACACACACACACAAAAGCTCACTGTATTTATTAATGTGCAATCAAAGCTCCCTACCCCTTTCCTCTCCTATTCTTAGGGCAGGGTAGACAGAAGCACTGTTATCAGGCTGTGCAAAAAATATCAAAAGTGATACAGAAACCAAAATGAACTCATTTTAGGGAGAGGATAAAATAATTGCACTACAAGAAAACGTCACTGCATATTTCCTTAGGGGACAGAAAGGAATCAATTACTCCCTCAAGAAGCTCATAACTACAGGAGTCATGTTCCTGAGAGCCTACATGTCATTTTTAAGGTAAATGACCAGCACAAAACAGACAAGCTCTTATCTCTGTGGGACAAAAGTAGCTTCCATAAAGGTACAGAACTCTCAGGTCCTTTAGTCATGAACAGAAAACATCAGAAATCACAGGTTTAGATAATGAGAATTAGAAGAGCCATAGGAATTAACCACCACAGTGCAACTCACAATTAACCAATAAACCTTCACAGGCAAACAAAATCTGAATAAGCCTTTACCTACTCCAAGGTTTTTTCTTGAATGGGACTATCTACCTGCTTCACAGCTATCCTGACTCACACACTAAGATATATGCAATGGCAGCCTCCACACAAAGAAAAACATTTGGGTCCCTGCAAAGATAATAGCAGAAATGATACAGACTCTGACTATTTTGCTCAGAGGCTCAATTACTAAAGAGTGGGGTTTGGTTTTGCTTCATCTCCATTTTTAGTTGTTATTTACATAAAGCACCACTAGACTCAAAGTTAAAAAAAAAAAATCCCTAATAGGGAAAGCCAATCACTCACTCTTGAGCTTCTAGGGTCATTTTTACCAGGCTGATCTTTGCCTGTTTGCAACCCTTACTCAATACTTATCTTTATACTAAAGTATTAGCAGCTTTTGTGGGACTCAAGACCCAATTACCATCAAAATGCCTTCATGCCTTAACGGCTGCTCTAAATGAGCTAATGGCTAGTGTAGTGCTAATAACATCTGTAATCACTTTATATTATTCATTACATCCTTATGTGGCAGAGATTTGGTACAGTCCCTTAATCAAATGTCCTGGAAAGAAGTATTTAACAACAACACTTTATCCACTCATTGGAGCATCTAATGCTCACTGCCTATTTGCAATGCTTAAGTATATTCCAAACGGGGGGTGAAATGTATCTACTCCATAGCCCAGCACACAAAGAAAGCATGCAGTCTACTCAAACATATGACATTAAATGGCATTCAATTGAATTCTCGGCACCAAATGCAAAAGAT